AGCCGGTGCATTTGGTGTCATTAGCTAACCAGGCAGCTTATGTACCTCTTACAGCTCCCTGACCCACATTTCATCCGTGCTCTGCTGTTTTCCTCCTGGAGGGTTATTTCCTGAGTAAAGCCCAGAGCTTCTGAGTCCCCCAGCAGAGAGCTCCGTTCTGACCTCCCGGAACAGGCAGTTTCACCTGCTGTGCTAGGGTTTTTCTGCTTCCTAGTCAATCTGTTAAGAATAAGACGCTGAACTTTATGCTAGGCATGTGTCTGCAAGCAATGAATCTCAACCGAACTTGAACTATGGTTATGCAACAAGGTGGAGGAATCCACCATGGGGGGAGGGGTATGGGAGGGGTGGGGGGAATCCCTAGCGCCTATGAAACTGTACTACACAATACAATGTAAACAACAATAATAAAAAAAAAAAAAAAAAAAAAGAAAAAAAAAAAAAAAAAAAAAAAAAAAAAAAAAAAAAAAAAAAAAAAAAAGATTTTAGCAGGAGATTCTTGGGTACCTTTTCAGAAAACATATGGGCAATCGTAATTACTTTGGGCTGGTACAATTTTAGAATTGAGAGAGTAAGGGAGAGGTGCAAATCTCTGCTTCATAAATAACCAAATCTGTGGGCATTAAAAAAAAAAAAACCTTCCGAGCAGCAAGAGAATTTATGTGCCACATTTCACCCTTGGCACACTTTCCAAATGAATTGTTCAAAGAGAAGTTATATTAGGACAAACAGAAAAGAGAACCAAGACCAGATGTGGATTTTTAGTTAATATTTACGCAACACCCAAAGGGAAGATGGTGTTGCACAATAAACTAAAAATGTCGTAGGTAAATAAGGAAATCTTTACCCTGAAGAACTGGCACTGCTAAGGTATGAATTATACAACAAAGCACTGGGAATGCAAAACAAATGCAAGGTAGAGGGTGCGACCATAAGGAGAAATTCATTGAGGAAGTGGCGAGGTAGCAGATGTACGGAACCTACCGAGGGAGGAATAAGGACTTAGCACTTTTTTGGCCAGTATTGGTAGAAAACTCAAGCCAAGCAGCCTAATTTGTTTCATCTGTGGAAAGCAGCAGTAGCTTTAAATAGAACACGTATATGTGTTCAAAACTGAGACAGCAAGCTCCAGTTGGGAAAGTATACCTTCATAAACCAAAAAGCTATGTCTTCACATTTTCAATGATCTCCCAGGGTAATGAAGGCATGTTTCATCTGATTCTCACTTTGCGTTTGTTCAAGGAAGGGAGAAATGGCAGGAACTTGCTACTACTGGGCCCTCAGAGAACAATCGGAAGGAGACCATGGCTTAACGCACTGAAAGGAGATGGGGGGTCAATGCTTAACTGCAAAAGAAAATTTGCTAAAAGCAACTGGAGTTTCCTGACACCACGGGCTTTTCAGCCTTCCTACCAGGGATGGCAGGCTGGACCATATTCTGGTACATTGCGTAGTCTCCCGCACTGACAGTTCAGTAGAGTAGGGAGGGTAGGGAGATGGGAAAATGAGATGGAGGATGTGAAAATGGAGGCGTGTCTAGAAAATGCATATTAGCTGTTAGTGTATTGAAGCCAAAACTCTGTAGCGTTTGTATGCCTCCAGGTCCCCTTAATTATTGAAGAGAGCTGCCTGCGTGTGACTTTCCACGGAGGGTCTTCCTACAGAGCTGCTGCATTTTAAAAAATGTATTCTCAAGAATTTTTAACCTGCTTCCTCTTCTATCTCTTGTTAATTCTTCATCATCTTTAACATTAGTAACATATCCATTTATTTTCTCATGAAAGTTTGTGGATTTTCAGTTGTCAGATGGCTTTTCTGAGCATATTTATTTGTTCATTTATTAGTTATTGATAATTTTTAAAAGTGTCTTCTACACATTCAGATTTTTTAGGTGCTAGATATTCTGCAGTAAATAACACTAATAAAAGTCCATTCCATCTTCTTGTTAATGTGCCTGGGAAGGTAGTGGATGGTGGCTCCAGTACTTGGGACTCTGCCACCCATGGGTGAGACCAAGCTGGAGCTCCTGCCTCCTGGTTCTTGGCTGGCCCAGCTGTGGCTGTTACAGTCACTGGGGAAGGGAACCAGCAGATGAAAGTGGAACTCTTTTTCCTCTTTCTCTCCTCCTCTCTCTCCTCTCTCTTGGAGGGCTCCACTTCTGTAATTCTACCTTTAAAATGCATATATATCTATATATGTATATATATAGATATATATGCATTTTATATATATACATAAATATATAAAAAAATATAAATATATATATATTTTACAAAGGTCCTTGCCCTAATGGAATTTCCATCCTAGTGGTGATCCCATATACGAATGTAATAAAGCAATAGGGTGATGGAATAAACACAGGGGTTTGAGAGGCCACTTTATAAAAGGAAGGAAGCCTGAGCAAGTCTTTCTGGGAGGATATTGAATTGATGGTGAGGCCTGAATGCCGAAAAGGAGCTCAAGAAGATCCATGCAGAAAGATTTTCAGGAAGGAGCAAGACAAAGTGGTAGGCTCCCGAGAAAGACGTCCGTGCTGTGCATCTACTACACCCTAAATGTGAGGGGCAGAGGGAGGCGGCCAGGCTTAAAGAGGGCAACGGTAAGCACAAGCTTCATTCTGTGGGCAGCAGGAAGTCATGGGACATTTTAAAGTAGGGAAATTGTGCATTTTGAAAACTTTGTAGTGCTAAGATGCAGGAAGGGATTGGCTGGAGGAGTAGAAATGAGGAGATGATTTGGTAGGTTACTGTGTTAGCCCACATAGGGATGAGGGTCATGTGGACCAGGGCTGGAGTGTGGATGTGATGCGATAGGTTTGGGAAGTAGATGGGTGGGGTCAGTTAACAAGTCACCGAGGAAGCTTGCGGCGCATGCTGACGGTAAGAACCACACTTTGCAGTATTCACCCAGCATTTTACACACCACCTACTGGGATCCTAACTACTTCAACCCACCTTTGAAAAGGTGGTGTTTTCCTTGCTGTTTATGGATGAGAACTCGGACTGGCTCATCTGACTCTACGGGTTCCCCCCTGGCAGTAGGTTCCAATGTCATCACGTCCTGCAGTGGTGGACCAATCGGTTGGATTTCTACAGCTTTTTAGCAGAGGACATGGGGCAGGGTGGGGAATACAAGAGCACATTAAAGCCATAATTCCTTCTAGGATATGTTTAGTTGCTTTTCCCAGGGGTCAACATCTGTTCATGGCAGATGGCACTACCGTTAACAAAAATTTTTAAAAAATCTTTTTTTTTTGATCATACAGATTTCACAATTGGTTTTGTTTGTTTTTGTAAAATCAGGGAAGCGTCGCAATGTTTGCACGGCAGTCCCCCGAATCACAGTATTCGCTTTTTCAGGTCAGCGCGCCAGGTCCAGGGGTAGGAGATGCTGGCTTTCCAGGCCCGCGTGGCGGCCACGCAGCAGGGGGCGCTGCAGTCGTGTCCATCGTGGTCCAGGGAGCCGCGCGTCCAGGAAACCTTCAGGACCGGAGGAGGTGTGGAGGTCAGCCCGCGGACCTCTCGGTCGTGCAAGTTCAGTGCTCAGAGCTCTTTCGAGACGGGCCATTCTTGTACATCATATTTCATCAGGCGGCATGCTTTCTACCCAGTCCTCAGGCCGGGCGGAGAGGAGAGGACATTCGCTTCCCGCCTCTCCGGGATGGAGGAGCGCGCCCCACCGCTCACACCAGTGGGCGTCTCTCCCGTGTCCTCGGGGTCAGCCTGACAGAGTCCCCCACCACGCCCCAAAAGCACGAGCCCCAGCCCTTGCTCCGGGGTGGTACACGTCAGTCATGTCTTCTGTCGTACTCTTTTGTTTGCAACCTCTCTGTGCGTGCAGCTTTCTCTGCTCGTGCGTCTTTCCTCAGACACGGGTATGCCTGTGTGTGTTTTGGGGTGCACAGTAGGTCCATAGCCGAAACCTCTCCGTCGTTACTGCCATCCTCCTCCCTCCACTCCCGAAAGCCCAAGACACGGCGTGTCTGCGGCCACCACCGAGGCCCCGGCCACTCGCCTAACCTGTTCTGCCTCTCCCCACAAGTCCTGCAGCTGAGCGGACCTGAGCCGCCTGGCAGTGCCTGGCACGCGCCGCGCCGGGCTGGGGATCCGGCCGGTGCCGGGAGGCGCCTGGCACGGCCGGCCGCGCAGCCACCGCCGCCGGGCTCCTCGCGCTCCCCCTGCAGCCCCCCAGGCTGGGCCGGCTTGCAGCAGCCGCCCTCGGGTCCCCGGGGCTGTCCAGAGCCCAAGCGAAGGCGACAGCGAAGGGGGCGGGCGGGCGGTGGCGAGCAGGCGGTGGCGAGCCGGGCCCGCAGCCCCCCGGAGGGAGGGAGGAGCCTTGGGGCGGATCTGGGTGGGGAAAGGGGCCGGGCCGCCGGGCCGCGCAGGGCCGGCCACGCAGGCGCGCGGGGCCGTGAGGAGAGCCCCACGCGGGAGCCTCTCGAGTCCCACCCGGTCGCCGCTTCTCTCACTTGACCGGAGAAGGGGCTGAGAGGGAGCGAATAAAGAGTGAATGCGCTGCAGCCGCCGTGGCGGCCGCCCCAGTCAGTCCGAGCGACACCCGAGCGGTGCGCCCGGGCCGCGGCCAGGGGAGGCGGTTCGTCTCCTCCCTCCCACCCGCCCCTCTCTTCTCTCTCGCTCTCTCTCTCTCTCTCTCTCTCTTCCTCCAGCTGGTCCCAGAGCCCGGCTCGGTCAGGTTCCTCTGCCCCCCTAGCCCGCAGTTTTCCACCTCCTCCGTGTCCCACTCGTCACCCGGGGCGCCTCCGACTGCCATGGGTTAGGGTGGGGGTGCTGAGAGCCGCGCCAAGGACCAGCCTCGTGCAGCCGCCGGGGGGCGCGGGGCCCGAACGCTGCCGCTCGCCGCGCGCGGGCGCCGGGCATGGGGAGCGCGGTGTGAACCCGCACCCCGGGAGGACGCAGTAGCTACGGAGACGGGGCGAGGAGGAGGAGGAGGAGGAGGAGGTGGAAGCGGGGGAGAAGGGCCGCGGATTGCCAGGACCCGAGGGAGGGAGAGGTGGGAGGTGAGGGAGCGAGGGAAAAGTGAAGCAGGAAGGAGAAGGCGGCTGAAGGTGGGGATTGATGCTTCTGTTTTTTGTTGCCGCTGCTGCCCTCGCGCTGGGAGCCGAGCCGGAGGGAAGGCGGTGGAGAGATGATTGCAGAGTTGGTGAGCAGCGCGCTGGGGCTCGCCTTGTACCTAAACACCTTGAGTGCGGATTTCTGCTACGATGACAGGTAAGGAGGGTGGGCGGGACGCCAGGACCCAGCGCCGGGTTGCTTGGGGAGGACTCCCGTGGTGGCTCCTTCTGGGGCTCCAAGTGCTTGTGGGAGGAGCGCACTCCAAACCTGAAGGTGTAGGTGACGTGTAAACATTTACACCTAAAGCTAGCCTGGGGGATGCGAGCGCGCAGGGCGGGCTGAGCGAGTTTGCAGCAGGTTCTCCGGCTTGTTTCTTGGCTGTTGGCACGCGCTTACGTTTCTGAACGGAAATCCCGGCAATTTGGGAAACTTGTTTAATGAACGTGTATGTGTGTAAGTCCTAGATATTCCTTGATGCAACAGAAACACATTAAATGATTTTACGTCTGGGCTGGAAGGAAGCCGCTCCCCACCCCTAATAGATCTTCCCTGTAGCGCTTCCTTTTATTGATGGGACACTTTTTTTTTATTTCCTGAAGTTAAAACGCGAGTGTGACAGTTGCCCAGAAAGTGAGAAGAGCGATCTTACTCTGTTTCTACTTTCCCTTTTGACGTGTGCGGTACTTTGAGCTAAGCAAGATCTTACAGCTCCCCCAGCCTCCCTGCCAATGTACTGGGAGTAGGCACTGGGAAAGGGCTTGGCTGTCCTGCTTGTTGGGGCGTTTTACAGGAGATGTGAGTGATCCTGTTGTGCTAATTGGGACAGAGCTGCCCCCGGAGGCTGACGTTGTCTTCTGCTTTAGGGTTATTTGGGTGGCTAATGAGACCTGAACTGTGTTGTCAAAGAAACTGCATTGATTTCGGAAACACGCCACAGTTGTGCTGTTTATCTCTTACCTATTTTTTTTCAACGTTGTTAGTGTTTAGAAACTGCTGAAAAGCTCCCGTAACCATTAGGGAAAATTCCAATTTGTGCCTTTCTGGTAACTTAATGTGATTACAATTAAAACAGATGCATAATTAAAATATATTAGGGAGAACAGCACGCTTGGCTAAACTTATTAACCGTCCTGGGGCGTTTCATGCTCCATTGAAATTAAACCATCCAAAAAGTGAGCACAGATTTACTCTGACAGCCTTTCAGCAGCCTCTCTGGGCTTTGGGGAGTGAATGGATCCCCAGGGCTAGGGCGAGGCAGTGCTTGATAGTGAGGGGAAGTGAGGGCAGACTCTTCTGGTGGTAATTAGCCGTGTTCTATATTCTCTGGCGTGCCCACTCTCCTGCTAAAAGCCTGTTTATGGATATGTGCCTGGGATCAGCCCATCTTGGTTCCCACCCACAACAGTGAATCTGCCTGTCCTGGGTGTAGGAACATTCCCTAAGCCCTTCCTAATGCAGTGTCTCTCAGAGGCTTGTTGATAGGGAGCTGCCGACAAAGTTTTCCTCAACTTTTAAAGTGCACTGCTTTCCGCTGTTATACTAACCTGCTCTGGGGAGTGGCTCTCCGCAGGACTCTAGTGAGCTGTCTCTGCTCCTTAGATTTGTGGAACAGTGCACCTGCTGTCCCTGGGGTATTGGTGAAGCAATTCTTGCTTCCAAAAGTGGGTGGCTTTAGGGGTGAGTCTGCGCAGTTATTTGGTTCTGTTGGCAACTGTTTGAATAGTGAACATGGAAGCCAAGAATATTGTGCTCATATTAAAAAAGAAAAGTTACTATAATACAGTAACCATGAGACCACCGTTATAAAACATGTGCTCCTGTTATATGCTGTTCTTAGTTGCTGTCTCTTTTTTTGAGAGTTCATGTTGGAAGAAACCGTGAAAAGTTGAGAGTGAAACTGAGTCCACTTTCCTGTAGGTCTGGGCTCTTGAGCCATCCGTCAGAAGGCTTGTAACTTTGGAGGAGTGATATGAGCGTGATGATAAATTAGTTGTGCTTTGATGATTGGCCGTTGTTATCAGTTCTTCACATGATGTAGGTCAAATGATTTCTATTTTCCAGTTACACAGATAATGTAATGTGAAGATTTGCCTGTGTGCTCAATGCATGATACAGATATCATATACTGATAACGACACATAATGAGTTAGATTTTGCTGCCATTTACGAAGTACATTTTCTCTGATCTCAGAGCAGACTTGCACATCAAATCACATACTCTTAAGACGATGAAGTCAAGAGTAGCAGCTTCTATTTTATGTGTTCTAGAGGTTACGAGACACCCGTTCACAGGAGCACTGAGCTTGTTTGTTGTAGGCACTGTGCGTTAGAGTCATTAGGAGCACTGTGGGTTGTGGCTTTTCTCTCCAGCCGTTTCCATTCAGTGGTGTATGGAGGAGAAAGGAAGCCGGGGAGCCCCGTGGTAACCATAGGATGATGGTAACCTGTTTATTTCCCTACCCTATTTCAGACTGCAAAGGTTGACATTTAAAAATGTTGCTTAAACTGTGTCTGTGGATTATACTGCCTCACAGGAGCTTGTGTGAAATCCAGTTCTGTGAGCAGAGGCCCATGTGGAAGTGAAGAGAGCAGAGAACCTGGAGTGGGGTGGCTCGAAACAGCTGGCTCAGCTTGCTAGGTCCAGCCTCTGCTGTTTGGCTTGAAGGGTCTGACATTGCCTTGAACACGGCCTTACTCTGCTTTAGCTCGGACATTATTGCTGTGGTACTTTGCAAAGTTACTATTTCCTTCAAGTGATCAAACATTTTTTCTTAGCTCTCTAGATCATTACTTTCAATGTTTGACATAGATGGGTGGGAATTAGGTGGTCATCTGAAACTGTTGGTAAAACTATTTTCATATGTAAACGCCTGAAAGTTTCCAAGTGTTTCTGTGCTACAGTTAAGCATATATATATATATATATGTATATATAGAAAGAGAGAGAAAGAGAGAGAGAGAGTGTGTGTGTGTGTATGTGTGAAGGCACAAACACTAGACAAGGAGAAGAGAATCTATATATAGGTCTCAGCTCTGTCTTCCCTACCCTTCAATCTAGTATGACAACTGGACTGAACCCTAAGTGGTGATTAGAGTAAAATTGAGATTATAAATATACCATCTTGGCCAAACTTTAAGTCATCTGGTATGTTACTCCTTGAAGGATCTTCTCTTATTTTCTGGAGAAATTTGACATTTAGGTTAGTGAAAAAAATAAATTGCTGACCCGACAATCTCTGTCCTCTTCGATGTTTCTTGAGGATGATGACATGGTATCCTTTCCTCCTTTGTCTTCCTTAAAAACACAGCCACAAGTTTCTCTGAGAGATAACACTATGACAAGAGTCAGTTTACTTCAGAGCAAACACAACTTAACAGGATCTATTGTTCTGTAGTCTCCAATTTCATTGTGCATGAATCCTGTTGATGACCTGGCCTTTATGATACACAGACAAGTAAATTAAATACACAGACAAAACAATAAGTAAATGCTGCTCCTGTGTGTTTTTAATTCTTACATGAGTGAATCAGTCTGATTTTGGAAGTGGAAAACATATTTGTGTGTGTGTGTGTGTGTGTGTGTGTGTGTGTGTGTGTGTGTGAGTGTGTGTGTTTTCCTTTGCCTGTTTTGTGTTGGTAAGCCCAAGCATAATTCTTAATATTACCTATAGGTCTCCTAGCCATTGTGTTATGCAGCAAATTCGTGAACCTGGAGAAACAGTTCTACAACACAAACTTCTACTCTTGAATTAAAATGGCCTAAAACTCTCATGGCACTTTCCCAGTTTGGTTTGACTTTTAGATATTAACAGAAGTATTGGTTTATATAGAAATACTAGTTAGAATTGATTGACAGTATTTAAAATGAAAGAATGAAATATCTAAGGCGTATTAACAATCTCTTAAAAACTTGATTTTTCTAACATTCAGCTATTCCTCCTGCTTGATGTTTCAATGTCACCGTTAGTTTGTGGTTTTTCACCTGGAGTGGGAAGAATCCCTTGTGAAGTGATCAGTTGACTTGTCTCTAAGAAGTTCCCTTTGATAGACTTGCCTTAGCCCAATCTGGGATTGTTATCTTAAAATTTCAGAGTGTGTAACCACTGAAGACATGACTGATATTTAGCAACATTCTTGCAAGATTAAACAAGGGCAGTGTTTACTTTGCATCAAAGTTTGTCTTAACAGTTTAATATTGGGAGAAATCACTGTGTAAAGAAATATTATTATACTCTTCATTTTACTTCCAGTATATAACACGCTGAACAATTACAGTTGCATTCCGTTTCTAGTCTATGAATGGTTATATGTGGTGTGCTGGTTTTTAGCTGAATTTTGATAGCTTATGCAGATTTATTTGGAAAAATTTCAGTTTGCTATTTAGAATTTGTACATCTCTTATCAGTAAGTATTAACATCAGGCGAAGTCAGTGTGGACTGCTGTGCTTATCTTCACGGAGTCTTTCACATGACATTCGTCATAGCAAATGACCCAGATACAAGCACTGAGAGGACAGGCACAAATGCCAAAAGGAAAATGTTTGCCCGCCATCTGTCTCTTAGTTCTATACGCACACACATACAGGATTCTTACTTTACATGGTTGATTCTGTGGGCTGTTGTCATATGCACTTAATTTGTCAGTGGTAATATGGCCCTGTGGTCCCACTGAATTCTTTGTTGCAGTAATTCTGAAATGGCACTTGCCTACCTTTTGATTCCAGCATGAGTTAGGAGCACAGTTTTTCTTTCTAATCTCTCTCTCTCCCTCTCTTTGCTGTTCTTCACATTAAAAACATTGTTTCAAATGTCTCTGATTGCATGGGCTTTTCATCCCGAGCCAGGGGTGGATTTTCTTTAAAGTAGGCACTTTCACAACATACTTATGGGGAAAGACAAAGTTGACCCTTAGGTACTCTGGACAGTATGTAGCTGGCTAATCTATTTTGTTACAACTGTGCTGTTCTTACCCAAAGCACTTTTAATGTAGTAACATTCAGATTGGTTCTCTTGTTGGAACTAAGAATTATTTCATCTTTGTTTCCATACTTTTAACATCATTGTTATTTTGAAAGAGACATGAATCGGGGGTGGCAGGGTCGGGGGTGGGGTGGGGGGGGAGAGATTGTGAATGAATAACTCATTGCTTCTTTACTC